GAATACTTTCCAAGTTTCGAGGATGTAGGACCACGAAGAGACCATGATCGCGCGTTTGCAGTTGAGTAGTACTACACCTACCACCTACTACCTACTACCTACTACCTACCTACTACCTATAGTAATATTACACCTACCGTCCCTATACTAAACTACCACCCTCCGGCATGGACCGCACTGACCACTGACCACTACTACCTGTAGGACACATAGACTGAGGATGTGTACCGTAGTATGTTAACTTACGGGATTGGCGATGCAGATGCTCCTGGATCTGCTTGGCTGTTATCAGCTGGGCCTTCACCGCCGGCGGCGGAGCATGTCATTCGTCTCTTCGGGTTGTCCCCTCCCCCGGGAATTGTGTTCGTTAAGCATGCCGCACACGCCTGTCCTTTCTCGATTCCCGCGTTCCCCATTTTCTCTGCGATTGCCGCCAGCATGTCTCCGTCCGAGGTGGTCCCCGTCTTAGTTACCTGCACAGTCTTGATGTTGGCGTTGTTGTTGCTGTCGTTCTCCTGGAGCAATCGCCTCCCGCTAGCTGGGGCGGTGTGGTTGCAGCGAGGTTTGGGCTTGCAGCAGTCCGTGGGGTCGCTCGATTTGCATCCCCTGAAGTTGGACAGGCAGGACGTCACGCAGGAAGCACCGTTGCGGGGACACTGCTGGTTGCACTGATGGTTGTACCAGACGCAGATCTTTTGACGCAGCTTGATTGCCACGTACGCACGGACGTACTCCTGCATAACGCGGCTCGTGGTGAGAGCAGGCCAGCCCTCGCCGACCAGCTTCTTCTGTACGTAGTCAAACACTTTCTTTCCCTGCTTCACCGAGCAGTCGTGCTCCAGGTCTAACGACACATTAGGACCGCCACAGCTCCAGTCGATGGCCTCGACCTTCGGCCCGCAGAGCTTCCGTTGCGGCCGAGCTTCGATCAGAGTCGGGGTGAGGAGCAGGAACAACGCCGCCGCAAGCGTGACCACCGCCAAGCGAAGGATCGGAGAGGACGCCATCGCCGTCCCGTGAAGGCCAGACAGAAGCTTTTCCCTCCTCTTGCAAGAAACGAAGCTATCCAGCGATGGTGGATCGCGGAACGGAAAGAGGAGACAGATGCACAGAGAGAGGAGAGAGGAGAGAGGAGAGAGGAGAGAGGAGAGCGAGAGAGACTATGTTATAATATGGGAGAGGAGTCTCGAAACACGGCGGCTGACACATTTGTAGACGGACGACTCGCTAAGGAAGCGGCACCGCGCAGCTGCCGGTGTCAACAGGGCCAAACAGGCTACTTGGATTCCTTTGACACAATGCAATGTGCTCTTATAGCAGTCTTTACGGACTGAGCCGCAGTCTGAGCGTGTCGCCGGGGATAAGGCCCACCGTCCCCAAACAGCGGGGCTCGTGTTCTTCTTTTCTTTTTTTTTTCTTTTTTTTTTCTTTTTTTTTTTACAGGTAAATTCGTTTGTGTCACAAAAGAAGTTCTCCCAATTTCCCAAAGGGAAAGAAAGACACGAATGGGCAAAAGAAACCGCCGCCGTACTTAAAAAAAAAAAAAAAAAAACGCCGCCAAACCGGAAGGGATGAAAGCACCTTCGGCCGGGATCCCGTTCAGGCCGGGTGTCATAACTACAGGGGTCAGCTGTGGTGTAAGAAGGGGAAGGAAAACTAGTGAAAGAAAGATATCAACGGCAGGGCGTGGCACTTCATTGCCCTTTCCAGTTTGGAGCCGGCTCTTTTCGCCCATTCTCTGTTTTTTGGCCTGTACAGTTTCAGATAGTGCCATTGTGGCACTTGTTTCTTTTTTTCTTGTCTCTGAATAGTGACACTAGAAAGGCGAATGTGAGGTTTCTACTATGGACTCTATGCTGCTTGTTTGTAGCATTTGGGTTCTATTCTGGGCTGTTGGCAGTAGGTGGTGATCCGGATTCAGGGTGGGGGGGTTGCATGGGTGGGCATAATGGGTCTAGTTGGAGAAGGGGCTAGCCAGCTGAATGGGAATATGGTATGGCAGCGCTGTGGTGTGATGCCCTAACCTCATGCCCCGCAGTGCAGTGCCCTGTCCTTGCCGGACGCGGATCGGAGTAATTGTGGCGTGGCCGAGGATTTTGGGTGGGGGTTAAACCGTCATGGTGAAACTGGGGTTCTCTCCTCTGTTCAGAGGGTCGTTTCGGAAACTCTAGTGGGAGGAGATAACCACAAAATTCCAAAATTTAGATAAGCGTCTAAGGGCGGGGCATGGGCTAAGTTCGGCCCGTCAGCTTAAGGACAGAAAAACAATTCATTTGACACCAGACATAACCGGGAAAGACCATGCCAAAGCGAAAAAGGAGACAACGAATCTATCGCTTATCTCGTGTTAGGTGTGCGCCATCCTTCTTAGAAGGGGTCGAGGAGACACTGGACGCGTAAGCATCCAAGTCGGGCTCACGAGGTTCGTCCTATCAGCTGGAAGTCATTGGCGTGCAAGGAGGGGAGCGAGCTTTCGTGGCAAGCAAGAGTTCAAAAACGGCCGCTCGTGCGCGGATGCAATGAAAACATGAAAATTGCAGTCAACCGAAACTCATGGCCGTTTCTTGGGACATTCCCGTGCGGTCCCTAATAGGCGGCGCGAAACTAATTTGAATAAGGACAGGGACAATCAAAAAAGATGCATGCAATCGGCCCGCAGAATTCGGAAAACGGACCCTATTTTCTGTAATCAGTCAAGATCCGTACTTCGGGGATTCATTCGGGTCTTAGGCCGAATGGTATGTGAAGCAGCAGGGTACGGCTCTTGGCTTATCACATGCTGCCCTGTAACTGGAGTGTGACGAGGGCTCTAGAGGCTTGATATCGAGGATGAGCAGGTTGAGGCTGGGAGGGCTGGGCTGAGCATCATTCACTATGAATTTGGGTTCTGCTGGCTTTTTCTTAGGGTCTTTCTAATCTTACTTTATCTCATGAGCGATGTTTGACTGAGTAGGCTGGTTATCCTTACGCTTCTGTGATTGATTCTCAGCCGAAGCCGGGTAATGCCCCCGTATTTCAGATGTCCTGTATATTTTAATGGGACACTGGGCCCTATTCCCAGCTCGTGCTGCTCCCCAAACTTAAAGAAAGAAAGAAAGAAAAAAAACCTGCTCTGTATTTTTCCGAGTTTAGCGGACATTCCGAAGCACTTTGTCGCCATTCTGTTTGTTTGTTTTTTTCCGGAAAAGAAACGGGCGCCTTTCTGTTTGTTTGTTTGTTTTTTCCCCCCGAAAAGAAAAGGGCGACGGGCTACCCGTAAATACCCCCGGGGACCAACTCCCCCACCAGCAGCGTTGACTTTCCTCAACGCCCGAATCCGGACGTGTTTGTGGAGATGTGCAGAAATGGTGTCGAGTTGCCTTAGGGTCTGATCCCACCACTACACTGATACCACGCGGGGCGTGGGGGCGCAGACAGGACTGCGGCGGACGGGCACTCGCACAGAACTGTCTGGAGAGACACGCAGGGAAAATCACGGGCATAGCACGGACCCGGGGAGGAGGGGGTAAATCATTCGTAAAGGAATTCAGGGTCTGCGGTGTCAGCCTGATGTCCATTTGACGCTTTTTCCCCGGGACTTGTGAAAATGGGGAATGTATTTTGCCACTTCTTCTGCAAGATACATTCGCTGTTGCCACATTTGCATTAGAATTAGAAAAGGCGAAAACGGCATACTGGCACTGCCACTCTTCTAAAAATGTATGTGATCACAAATACGGCCAGATGTGGACGAATCTTTCCGTAATTACGTCCAGAGCTTAGTAGAAAAGCCCCTACCGAGTTGTGAGCATGCCCTCGGGTTCCATGCATGATCTTGACTGCTGAAGATCAATTGGTCCTTGTGGTATTGGCTCCCTTACCCCAGACCTACCCCCTTCAGTGACCGTTTTTGTGAGCATAAAACAAATCTAACCTCTAAGAGCACACTCAGCCTGTTTCAGGGCCTCGCCACACACTCTCGAAATGTGAAAAAGACAAAAATGTGGCGGGGGCATCTGGCCATGTTCTAGCGGGAAGTTCATTCCCATTTTGCAAATTTCGAGAGTGGTGTGGCGATGCCCTCACACTAGAACTTTTTACTACTTATTTATGGCTGTAATTGCGTTCATATACACCACGCTTTGGCCGTCATTGCGGTCAGATGCATTTAAGATAGAGCTAGGTGGTGTGAGAGTACGCTCCAAGTGGTTTGCAGGCGAGTCTGCATCTCTTCTTCCAAGGGGAGTGTCCGCAGGGGTGTCGCTCTCTTCTTTGAAAACAAACAAGCATTTCAGAAAAAAAAAAAAAAAAGGAGTGTCCGCAGGGGTGTGCCTGATTCGAGCCGACGATGGGTGCTCGCTGCACTACTCTCGACATGCACAAAAGACAAAAATCATGGCTGTGCATCTTTCCATATTCTAGTGCAAGATTCACTTTCGTTTTGCACATTTCGAGAGCAGTGCAGCCAGGCTCTATCTCTTTACCAACCAACAGTCATTTTGCACGGTCGGAGAGTAGCACCAAAGGCAAAATGAGACTGAACACTGTATCTGTCTATGTTCTAAAGAAGGACTCAGTCAGACTCACTTTCCACAGTAGGAGAGTAGCACCACCTCCGTCGATCCCCCAATGTCTCCCAATGTAACGATAACGAACGGTTGGATAACCGGTTCCTAACTTCCCGAACTGGGGACCGGGCACAGCCCGCAATTCGTCCAAGGACCGCACCACCGTCCCCGCGACCGACACCACGTTGGCTCACGGAACAACTGGTCAGTGTCGACTGGTCAGTGTCGTGTTAGCAACCGCGATGCCCTATACCCGCTTATACCCGCTTACACCTATTTTTCAGGCCTAGTCGCATGACTCTGCACGACTCGCCATCCGACAACATTGTGAATGCAGCTGGACAACGCAGCTGCCTCAGTGCACTGGAAATGACGACAAATTTCCCCAAACGGAAAAAAGCAAAAAACACATCCATGTATACGCAGCCATCCTGGCTGCAACTTAGTCTACGACTGGAGTCGCGAAAAAGCACTACAAAGATGTCAGCGGCCGTGGCAGGACGAAAAAGAGAAACTGGATCCCACGAGGGCGACTTCTTCTGTGGTTGCCCTGGACCCGCGGCGGTTATTTGTGGGCTGTTGCAGAGGGCGGACGTTTTCACCAACCTAAATGCCACACAACAGTGTGGTCCAGGGACATTCCTGATGCTGCAAATGGAAGAACGAGAAAAATATAAATAAAAACAAATTGCTCCCTCTTTTTCGCTGCGGAGAAGCCCTCAGGGTCTACAGAAAACTTGTAGTAACTACACTTGCGCCCTTCCCGGACCTGCTGCCACGACACACCCAAACGAAAGTCAGGCAAAATATTTCGGCGATGTACTGTAACTGGGCTGTAGTGTAGTGGTGGGATCAGACCCTTCACCTCACATCTCCGCAAACATCTCCAGATTCATCCCCTAATATTTTAAATGCAGAGCGACGGGAACCTGTCCAAATGCAGTCCAAGTGTTGGCCCATGGCCAGTAGTGCAACTACTGTAGGCCCTCAGGCATTGAGCAAGCTCACCTATGCGAGTGGGACTTGGCCCCCACGCACTAGCGGGGCTTTCGTTTATGCTTGGTTGCGTTTAGTTTATGTTTCCTGTATTTTCCAACGTGGTCACACTACACAGTAGGGCCGTGAGATTTTCAGATCGGATGGCAGTGAGCCATGTATACTTGAAACCGAGAAGTGTGACATGGGCCCCCGGGGCGAGGTCCCACTAGCAAAGAGGATTGGATTGAAGGCCTGAATCTGGACTTGTTTATAGAAAGTTGCAGAATGTCGCTACGGAACTGCTTTTCTGCATCTCTGCTTAAAACACGTCCAGATTCAGGATATTTATTATTTATCCAATCGCTCCCCAGTTTGAATCGTGAGGTTCCCGACCTCCACCTTCTGTTGGAACGAATTAATGCTTATTATTCTTTAAAAATTAATAATAATAATTAGAGAAAACTACGGCGCAGACAGGGTTACAGTTTGTAATTGCATTTGAAACTGCGTTTTAGCAGTTTCGTCAGGGCCCGAGTT